GGGGGGGCTAGAGGAGGAGGATGGCAAAGCCTCTTCTCCCCTCATTGTGAGGGCAGAGGTTTACTGGACATCCTTGTGACAGTGCAGTGTATTTTCCCAGTCATGGTAATTTCAGTTGTGGCTTTGAAGTCTGGGGGCCGTACTGGTGGGAAGGGGTCTTGAGGAGTTTAATGAGACTGCTGACTTTTCTCCTATTGGACAAGGAAGTGAGTTGTGTTTAGGATCTCTTATTTTGCTGTTTTGTCTGTGATCTAAAAGGGAAGAGCAATCAGATATGTTTTTCTTTTGAAGTCTGCCTGTGCAACGCTGGACATCCAGACGGAGCCTTTGTCTTTCTATGTGTAGGGTGTGTGCGATTTAAGGGGAAAAAAAGCAAATAGAGACTCTACTAATTCACCAGGTCCTGGATGATTTGATTTTTAAAAAATGGGATCTTGAAAAAAAACTTTTGTAAGACTCTTAAATAAAAGTTCCAGTTTAATGAAGGAGATTATAAATCATATCTTTGCCATAATGCACATTTTTTAAGGTAAATAAACATACAGATCTAAAGTCAGGTACCATACAATGACAATAGAAAGTTTTTTGGGTAAAAAGTATGAAATTATTAAACAAGCACAATTTGGCATCGCAATGTGCCAGGTAGAACTTGTAAGAAGAAATGGATCCTAGAAGATCTGAAACTTCAAGAAATGCAAGGGAAAGTAGGTCTACTTTTTAATTCTCTTGACTTGGCCTCCAGAAACCAATGACTCCGGGTTACCAGTGGAGGATAATTGGAGGCTTTCTTGCTACAGTGGTGGTAGACTGTATCTATCTTTTTACACTGTGAGGACGGAGTTTGTTGGAATTGTTTATCAAACTGAGGTAATGGCACAAATGTTTCACAGATAGGTAGCTACAAATGAGAAAAATGAGACTGCATGGGTCAACATTTGAGCCTGTCCTAATGGAGGGTGCTTCCAGGTATCTGGCTTCTGACTAATCTGGTGCAAGCATTTTTATGGACATAATAGGTAAGTAAGACGATAAGCTCTGCCAGAAACATTCTTCCTTAACTAAAACAAATGACCTACCTGGCCTATGTAAGTAAAATATTACATTTCAAAATATGTCTTCAAGTAATGTTAATGGTGTCAGATTGAGTATTTCCTTTTAACCTCCTATAATAGTATGTGAGTAAAGTTCCATTAATCCTAGAAGTCCAGAAGCTATGTTTAAGCTGTGTTCACACATTGCAGCAGGCCATTCTAGCTTTTCATAGTGTGGACTGTATTTCACCCTGGAAAATCTGATGTCACGCTAATTTGTGAGAATTTACAGGGCTGCCACAAATCTATGTCACCAAACCATTCATCAAATGCACACTCCAAGGTTGATATACTGCCAGGCTGGTCAGACATACCTTCTAACCTCTTTATAGATCTTGGTGGCAGTAGCAAGAAGTATTCCAAGCCAAGTATTGAATAAAGGCAAAAATGTTGTCTATAAATCATGAATTATTTACTCATTTCGTAAAGCATAGGGAGTAAAACATTGCCATTGTGTCTACTAATCATTTTTGTGAACGGGTATTTGAATGTTAGATTAACCTGAATATGGTAAATATTTTTTTTAATTCATTTATTAATAAAAGATAACAGTCTTGGTGATTGGGCATAAACTGTGCAGTTGAATCCAACTTGCCCTTGTAATTGGATATATTAGGTTATGCTGTGAAGTACTCATGACATATACTTAACAAATCAGAACAGACACTTGAATAGTAAGACCTCCTGCTGCTCTTGATTGTTTATTGCTGCTCGGCACATCTTGTCCCCTTGCCCTTCCAGTGCTTTTATGTTTTCTCTCTGATCCGTAAAGCCATTAACTTGTTTTTTTTACTGGTTCATCTATTAGACATTGATGGTTCAGGAGGAGGATCACTGTTACCTTTTCCTGATTATCATGTCGCAAATTGTATATCCATCTGCTTCTCTTCATCGTTCACCTTTAGCCATTTTTTAGCATTTTTTTTTAACATTATTATCCGTCCCACTTGTGTAGGTGGCCGACTGAATGCTTTCTTTGTTTCTGCCACTCATGACTTGCATTTAATATCTTCCCACATTTTTCATGGAATAATGAAACAATGTTCTCATTCCAGGAATTGAAGCTTTTAATGCTGCCTAATGGGGGCCTGTATTTAAGAATCGATGTCCACGCAGCTTTTAATGCAGCAACAACTAATTAAGAAAGAAAAACTATGTTAATGGCATGTATATATTTAAACAAAAGCTACAGTCCTTTTTTTTTTTTTTTTTTACAGTTTTTCTTAATGTGTATGAGAAAAAAAAAATTAACCCCTTAAGGACAAAGGCCTTTTTTTTTGTTTTTTTTTTTGTTTACATGTTATAATCCACATTTTAGGCCTGAAAATTACTTAAAACCCCCAAACATTATATATTTTCTGAAAGCCAAGACCTTATAGAATAAAATGGTTGTAGTTGCAAATTTGTATGTTGCATGACATTAGAGCAACTTATTATGAAACCCCACAATTTAGTGAAAAATGCACTTAAGTTAAATTTAGTGCCCCAAAACACTAATTAAAACTTTTGTTTTTTGTAAAATATAAAAGATGAGGTTACAAAGAGTAAATAGATGCCCAACGTGCCTAGGGTAAAAATGGTGTGCCTCCGTGAAACTGCGACAGAATTAAGGTGTTATTGGGGGTCTAAAAGACCCTAGCGTCACCTTTCTACTTTAAATAAGCTATTGAAGTGCAGATCGCACTCCAATAGCTTATTGCTGGGCTTCAGGAGCCCAGCAATGACAGCTTTGGGACCAGAAGTGATGCAATACGAGTCACTGCCGGTCCCATAGAACGGGGGAAGAGACCACTCTCCTCCCCAGCTTCCCACTGTCACTCAAGATGCCGGTCCTGGGCGCGTTGGAGGGTCAGTGGAGCCCGGGAAACACGGTGGGGAGGGGTGAAGAGCGGCGGGGGGCAGCCCGGTTACCGGATCGTAGCAGCGATGTGGCGGCAGCTGAACCGCCAGAATCGCTTCTACTGTAAAGCCGGCTATACAAATCTGAACAGAGTCCTGGCGGCCTTTCTGTTTAACCCCTTTAGAATTCATGACGGGATTATCCCGTCATGGGTCGTGAAGGGGTTAAAGTTTGCCTTTATCAAGTGTCCTTAAAGGGGAAACTACAAATGGTTTGGGGCCATTTTTTAGTTTTTAATTTTTTTTAGAGATTATATACACTGCACATGTTAAAAATAAACAAGTA